TACCTCCCACCAGCAGTGGAACAGGGTTCCTCTTTCCCCACAGCCCCGCCAGCATTTGTTATTGGTTGATTTCTTGATAGCAGCCATTCTTTCTGGGGTGAGGTGGAATATCAGCCTTGTTTTCCCTTGCATCTCTTGAATGACCAGTGATGCTGAACATTTAATCATATGTTTATTTGCTATTTCTACTTCTTTGTCTGAGAAATGTCTGTTCATTTCAGATGCCCATTTTTGAATTGAGTCTTTAAATTTGGGAGGTCTGTTTTTTTAAAGTTTTTATATATTCTAGATATACATTGTCTGAGAATCAGGAGGTGAAGATTTTTTCCCACATTGTGGCTTGTCTCTTCACACTGCTGGTGGTTTCTCTTGCTGTGCAGAAGCTTTTTAATAAGAAGAGATCCCACTTGTTGATTGTTTGTGCTAGTTCACAGGCACCTGAGGTTTTGTTCATGAAATCGTTTCCTACACCAATGTCTTCAAGAGTTCTACCTAACCTTTCTTCCAGCTGGTTTAGTGTTTCTGTTTTAATATTTAGATCTTTAATCCATTTTGTATTTTAGTTTAGTGCATGGTGAGAGATACAGATCTATTTTTAATCTTTGGCAAGTTGAAACCCAATTTTTCCAGCACCATTTATCAAAGAGGCTTTCCTCCTGTGGGGATGTTTGGCTCCTTTGTCAAAGATGAGGTGGCTGGGTGTGTCGGGAGTTGTTTCTGTTTCTTTTAATCTGTTCCACTGATCCTGGATCTGTTTCTTTGCCAGTACCATGCTGTTTTTATCACAGTAGCTTTGTAGTATAGTTTCAAGTTGGGGATTGTGATACCCCATACCTTGTCTTTGTTGGCTAGAATTTCAGCATTGTTTTAATTTACATCTCTTGAATGACCTGTAAGGTTGAACATTTTTTCTCTATTTGCTGCTTCTCCTTCTTCATCTGAGAAGTTTCTATACAATTCAGATGACCATGTTTGGATTGGGTCTTTAAATTTGGGGGATCTTATTTTTTTTGAGTTCTTTATATATTGTAGATATTAGTCCTTTGTTTGAGGAACAGCTGGCAAATTTTTTCTCACTCTGTGTGTTGCCTTTTCACTTGCTTGGTGGTTTCTTAGGTTATGCAAAAACTTTTTAATAAGATGAGATCCAAGTTGTTGATTCTTTGTGATATTTCCTGTGTGATTGAGGTTTTGTTCATAAAGTCTTTGACTATACCAATGTCTTCAAGAGTTCTACCTAACCTCTCTTCCAGCTGGCTTAGTGTTTCTGTTTTAATATGTAGATCCTTGATCCATTTCCATTTTAGTTTAGTGCATGGTATAATATATGGTTCTAGTTTTAATCTTTGGCATGTTAGAAGCCAGTTTTTCCAGCATGATTTATTAAAGAGGCTATCTTTCTCCCAGGGAAGGTTTTTGGCTCCTTTGTCAATGGTAAGGTGGCTGAGTGTGTTTGGAGTTGTTTCTGCATCTTCTTTTCTGTTCAATTGATCCTTGGGTCTTATTTTTCCCAGAATCATGCTGTTTTTATCACAGTAGCTTTGTAGTATAGTTGAAGTCAGGAATTGTGATGCCTCCTTGGCTTTACTTTCCAGAATTTCTTTCACTATTCTAGGTCTCTTTTGGTTCCAAATAAAGTTTAGGATTGTTTTGTCTAATTCTGTGAGATATGCTATTGGCATTTTGATTGAGATTGGATTAAATTTGTGTAACAGTTTTGGAAGTAAGACCCTTTTCAATATATTAGTTCTTCCTACCCAAGGACGAGGGATATCTTTCCATCTTCTGATATCCTCTTAAATCTCCTTTTCCAGAGCACTGTAGCTTTCAATGTAAAGGTTTTTTACTTCCTTCATTAGATTAATTCCTCAGTATTTCATTTTTTTGGATGTTATTTTGAAACATGTTGTTTCCCTAGTTTCTTTTTCAGTGAGTTTGCTATTTGTTAAAGGAAGGCTACTGATTTTTGAGTGTTGACTTTGTATCCAGCTACACTACTGAATTTGGTTATTAAATCTAGAAGTCATTTGGTGAAGTTTTTGGGATCTTCTATTTAGCGTATCCTGTCATCCACAAATAATGATAATTTGACTTCTTCATTTCCTACCTTTATTCCTTTTATTTCTTTCTCTTGTCTAATTGCTATGGCTAATGTTTCAGAAATATAATGAATAAGAGTGGTGAAAGTGGATATCCTTGTCTTGTTCCTGATTTTAGAGTGAAAGCTTTCAGTTTTTGTCCATTTAGTATGATGTTGGCTGCTGGATTGTCATAGATGACTTTTATCAGATTGAGATGAAGGCCATATATTCCAATTTTGTGTAGGGTTTCTTTTTTATCATGAATGGGTGTTGGATTTTGTCAATGCTTTTCCTGCATTTATTGAGATGATCATATGGTTTTTGTCCTTGAAGCTGTGAGTGTGAAGCTGAAGGTATCATAGAGACACCATAAACCTGGGAAAGCCAGGAACGTTGATCATCTGAGGAAAATGGCAAGAAGGGAGCAGAGCCAGCCCAAGAGAGAATCCACAGGAGCTACAGCCATCAAGAGGGTCATAGAGGGTGGAGTCACCCATGCCTTATGGAGTTCACATCTTGCCAGATTGCCCCAGATGCTGGACATGAAACTACAGGGCTTAATATTTGCCCTACTGAATTTTGGACTTGATTTGGTCTCATTCCTTTCTATCCCCCTATTTATACCTTTTGGAATGCTAATATTTATCTTGTGCCATTATATGTTGGAAGTGTTTAACCTTCTTTTCATTTATACAGGGGCTCACAGCTAAGAGTTTGCCTTAAATCTTAGAGGAGAGTTTTGACTTAGACTTTTCAGCAATGCTGAAACTGATAGGACATCGGCAACACTTAGAGATAGACTAAATGCTTTTGCATAAAGGGATGTATTTAAGTCTTTGAGGCACCAGGGGTGGCATGTTATGGCTTGGATCTAGATGTCCCCCCAAAGCCTCATGCAATCCTAGGTGGGGATTTTTGGAGGGGCCTGCATCTAGGGTGTGCAATGCTGAGATCAAGGATGCCACGCTAGGATTAAGGGTGTGAGTGCTACCTGCCTTAAGTGTGGGCAGCCTGGATAAAATATAAGTGACAGAAAGAGGGTCATCACTTGTCATTTGTCACTTGTTGGTTATTGCTGCTGCTGCTTGTCTTCTCTGTGATGTCCCTCTGCCATACTACCCTGCCTTGGAGCCAGCCAACTATGAACTGAAATCTCTACAGACTGTGAGCCAAATAAACCTTTCCCCCTTTAAAAAATAAAAATAAAAACTATAAAAGTTCTAGTGACAAAGACAGCTCAGCACAGATGCAGTTCCATGAATCTTCACGCAAAATACATGCCCTGAAACACTAGCGTAAACTTCTTTCAAAAAAGAAATAACTATAAACTAGCCCAGATTCAGTACTGGTATAAGAGAAGGAGGAGATACTGATGAGCACTGAGAAGGGTCTCTGGAGGAAGAACCACTTGGTCAGGTAGTCATCTGACTACTGGTGTAACTGGTCAGTGCAACTGGCCAGATCCCCAAGTCCATCTTATAAGAGTGTTGAGGCAAACTGGACTTATGTAGAGAAGTTGTCCTCAGGAAAATAGTCAACTAGGAACTGCAAGACCCTGGAAAGTGGACACTCCCATCAGACAGCAGAGTACCTGGCCAGGGACTCTAGCACCTCACTTCACCTGAGAGTCACCCTTATCTCTCAGGAAATCCTTGTAGCTGGGGCATAAGTCCCCTGGTTCTTGCCTTGCATAGGACCACTCTCCTCACAGCTGTCCCAGGTGAAAATTCCTCCCAGCTTCATCCACCATCTAAAAGCTCTGCTCAGAGCGGTCTTCCATCCTCTCAGCCTTTTATCTCAGGACCAAGACACCTAATCTGAGGGTCTGACTGGGCCGCATTACAGCTGCATTAAAATCAACTCCCTCAGAAGGAACTGTGATTAAGCCAAGCCTCAAAATACAGTGGGTCAACACTCACTCGTGGATGCTCTCTGCTAGATCTTGCTCCCTTAGTGCTCTTTTTTTCATACCAGTTAGGTCCTTGAGGACATCTCTCTATCTTTCTAACATTAGTGTTACTCCTAGTATCCATCATCCAGTGTGGTAGATTTTATCTTCCTGATGCTGGTGTTACTCCTAGACTCCACATCCTATGGAGTAAGTTTGGTCCTGCTCAGTCTGGTTTCCTCATGTCTCCACACAGACACAGGGCCTCCCAAAGGGCACACGCGCAATGAAGGTTTGGGGTCAATGTATCCACGAGCAGATGGCATTCTTTATTGACAGTAAGTTTCTCTAATATAATTGAAGGAATCAAGGAAATTCAATTATACATATATTTTCTAAAATAATATAGACCATGAATGAAAAAGAAATAAAAAGCCAACTGTTCATTTTTATCCCCATGTCTATTTCTGTACTCCATCTAACTTGATGTAAACTTCTCACACATTTCCATGGAAATTCCTATTCCAATGCTATAGTGTCTTGTTCCATATAACAAATAAAATGAAAGACTTCCTAGTTGATTTTACAAAATTGCAAAAACTCTTACACTTGAAATCAAATAGCAAAATTCTTGTGTGATCAAAATCAGAAAAAGTCACATTTGCATCAGAAATCACAATCAACTATCAATATCACAAAACTAAAAAATGTGTAATCAATATCATTTCTAAAATAAGATGTGAACACTACTTCAATCTTGCAAAAAAGGAACAGGCTATCAAAAAGTTATAAAGAAAACACATGTCAACTTCCAAGGAATCCAAATTGAACAGACATCAAGCAAGATGCTATATACTATATTTTCCCATGGTCCTCCGGTCCTTCACTATTTAGAAAGCTAACTGCTCTCCACAAAGACAGATTGAAGAATGGGCTTCATTTCATATGGGGAACTAAGGAACTAAGGTAATGATGCGGCTGTGAACACTCCCTGTCCTTGGCCTGCAGCTTGCCTCTCAGTGGCCCACACCTTATGCATAGTCAGACTCTTGCTCCTCCCCCAAAGCTTCTTCATATAGACATGTGTAGGATCTGGGATCTCTCCTACACACCTTGGCCAAATGCTGTAGGATTTTCATCTTACTGGTTTCAGCGAGGGTCCTTGGACCCCACAGGAACTCAAGGCTAGCAGGATCACTATTGGGTACCTGGCGATATTCCAGGTACTGTTCCCGTACCAAATCCTCAGTGATGAATTTCCAGGGCTCCCAAACAAAAAAGCGCTTCCACTGAGGTAACTTCTCCCGTGTTCTCACTACTTCCCACATGTCCTCCTCACTGGCACGGTTGCCCTTCATGAAAATGACAGTCAAGATGACTATCAGGAGGTCGATTTTAGGGATGATCTCTTCATCACCCAATATCCCATTATAAGTAAGGCCCAACACAGGGATGAGGACATATATGTGGCCAGGGGGGTCCACTTCTCTCACATCAATGCCGCAGCCCAGACACATGCACTTACAGACTTCCCTGAAGATCAGAGGGAAGTGCTCATGGTAATCCTCGTCGACACTGTGCAGCATTTCTTCCTTGGTAATAAGCTCCTTCTTTTGATATTTGAATAGCAAGATTGGCACCAATTTAGATACCTTGTCATCTAGGACCACATTTTGTAGGATCTGAGGGATGAGCACTTTCTGCGAAGTACCTGCACCTTCTTCATCTTGCTTGCTGGAGCCCTCATTGGATTGGTTGTTTTGACTGGAGGCCATGGCAATGGGGAAGAGTGAAGACACTCTAGATTTTGGGGGCAACTAAGTGTCCCAGCCCAAGGCACTTCTGTTGGTATGGCTTGGTTTTGACTATAGGAGGAAGAGGTGACAGAGGAAGCAGTGGTTGCTACTTCCTCCCCCTTGGGCTGGAGAACCTGCAAGTACACCAGGCCCTGTGTCCCTCTTTGAGCAGGACAGACTTGCACTAGCTTGTGGTATTGGCTCCTCTACTTATGAAGAGATTCAGATGTTCCTTCAGTTACAGCAAGGACTTGGCGATGTGGACTCAAATGCCTGGAGGAGAGACAGCCTGTGAGTATTCTCAGCTGAGAACAACACTCTTTGTTAGCTCCTAAAAAGCCCAGTTCCAGGTGTTCTTTCTGGGTTGTGCTCCAGGGCTTCACATGCTACTGTCCTCTTGGAGGCACTGTCTCCAAGACCCTGGGACAGGAAGTGAGAATGCTCCTCAGGCTGCAGTTTTACTGCATAGTATAAGCTGTAGGGCAGACAGAAGGGCAAGCAGGGCCTAGGCTCAAGGAGTCCTCTCTGTTCTCGGGGAGATGGAGCCCAAGATACACATTCAAGGCACGGACTTCACCTTGACTTCTGACACCGCCTGGGCCTCCTCTGCTGTGTAAACTGTGGAAACTGCTCCAGACCAAGATCTCCCCTGCTTGGTTCCTGGAGCTCCTGTAAGAGGAATGAAGGGCCCATCAGGATCCAGACCACAAGCACAGTACTGGTCCCTCAGCCCTCACAGGAGAGGTGAGCTTGACTCTGTGAGGTCCTCACTGTTCTGACTGGGTGATTCCCATCTCTGCTCACCCGGGATACACAACTGTCCTTGAGCAGGTCCCGGACTCCAGCCCTCTACTGGCCTGAGGCAAACTCTCAGTAAAAGTGTTTCCCTCTGTGACAGGGAACAAAAGACAGTAAGGGAAACACACATTTGGCTTCAGCTACCTGGTGGCAATAGTTGGAGTTTGAAAAATTTATTGAAGTTCATATGTCCTAATAAAGGGAATCTGCTCTATCCTTATCTTGATAAATGGTTGGGTCTGGGACTGTCTCTGGGATGACCTGGGTCCACCTTCTTGAAACCACAGCACTATCTCTGTGAGATACTCAAAGAAGAAGTGAATGAGAGCCAGTCCACCTGTGTTCCCTGGGTCTGATGACCAAATGGGGATCCCTGTGCCAACCTGAAGATACCCTCTTATATCAAGTTCCTCACTTCCCTGAGATCTCCAAGATTCTCAAAAGAAGTGAGCAGGCACCCATCCCATAGCCTGTACATGGGGAGTCCATGGCTGACAGCAGGACCTGTGCCCATATCTTCTGAGATGAGGGAGCCCTATGTGCTTCTGTAGTTTCTCCACTTTCCTCTTCTCTGGGCCTAACTTTCTGCATCATCAGCCCTCCAGAGAAGAAATGCCTTCATCCCTTGAGACCAAGATCTCATCTCCCTGATAACTCTCCACCTTCCTGCCCACGGCAGAAGTGAGCATGCTATTTAGGACCTCCCAGGGTTGACCCAGTGGACAGGCAGACTCTCAGAGTCTGTTGTTTCTGGGCTGAGGACACACTTAGTCCTAGTGAGGACACACTAGGAAGGGTCCATAGTTTGGGTCCGCAATCTCCTGGGGTCCTCCTCCTGTTGGCCATATGCAGCTCCCTCTGCTGACTTGTAATCACCTCTTGGACCAAGGTCCTCACCTCCCTGAGTGCACCCACTTGCAACCACTTAGCAGAATTGTGATCAATTCACATGCTGTCACCCTTAAAGGGGACTTCAGTCTAATAATAGGAGAAATCAGGCTCTGCCCTTATTTTCATGGGTGTGGATTACCTTCATACCTTTTATTCTGGAAAATGGGAGAGTGGTGAGTGGTAGCAATTCAGACTCTCCAAGATTTGGAATCCAGACTCTGGAAAATCAGAACTGGGGCATTAAAAAAAAAGAAAAAGAAGAGAAGTAGATCCCTGGGAATCCAGAAGGAAATGACAGGAAAAGTAAAAACTACAGAGAGGTAGAGGAGAAAGACTACACCTTGGAGAAGGGAACAAATCAGTCTGGATTTTCTCCCTTGCTCTTGGTTCTTGGGAAAGGGAGTGAATATGCAGAACCAAAGGGGAACCTGATGACTCCAGGAGATTCCAAGGAGAAAAGGTGGTGGTTCAGTGGACCGGTGGTTGCTATAATCTTCAGGGACAGTGTGGAGTTCTGCTCCCACAGAGTCCTTACACAGGAAATGGCGAGGTGAATGACCCTGTACAGAGTCCCACTGTATCACTGAAGAGTGCATGGGCTTGGGTTCCATTCTGGGAAAAGGTTGAGTGTTTGAACCTGGGACTCAGAACAGCTACAGGGCAGCTTCACTTCAGTGTTCCCAGTGTTACCCTCCCGCAGTGACTGAGTGAGAGACATTCTCAGGAAACAGTGTGGACAGGAAGGGGCTGGTGTGAGACATCCTGAGAGGTTTGACTTTAGCTGGGAAGGGCACAGGGCCTGGTCTCCATGGCCAGAGGCCAGGCCCAGCCTGACTTGCTCTAGATTTGAAAATCTCTGCACTTGTTATTCTAGCCCTTGTCCTTCTGCCTTCACCTAGCACGGATCCGGAGGCTGGCTGCCTTCCTTCTCCACCAGGGTGTGGAAGGACTCACCTTGACTTGGACACAACCACAGCTTGGGAAAAGTAGAGGGTCCTGCCTCTGAGAAAATCAAGAATTACTACACTCCAAAATTCTGGATCCCAAAAAGGAACTATTCATTCAAAATCACAATTTTTTCCTTTATTTTCTTACTTCTTTTTCATACCTCTTTTTTACCCTCTTTTTTGTTTAATTTTTTCTTGTTTTTATTCTCCATGTAATTTCTCTTCTTCCCTCCTTTTTTCTGTTATCTTCAACTTCTCATCAGTTTTTCTGTTACCTTTATCTAATTTAATAATTATCTTTCTAGTTCTTAATAGGATGCTCTGTCCTACTTGTCTCTCCTCCTTCTTATATTCTATAGTTTGAGCTTTCATATTTTTCTTTTTGTGTGCTCTCTTTCGCTGCCCCCTATATCTTTAATAGTACAACTGTTAAGCTTTATTTATCTTTATATAGTTGACTGTACAAAATTAGTGTTAATTTTTTCTACCATTATCTGTGCTATAGCTGTTATATTTAGTACATATTAACTGTATGCCAATATCTTAATGTTAATGATTGTCTTAATGTTTATACTTTAATTGTGGATTTCTACTTGATGGTTAAAGGTCATACCTAATTGCTTCTTATTGTATGTTAATGTGCAGTTCCAGTTTTTCTAGGATGATACAACTGTAGCTGATTTGCTTGACATTGCCAGGGTCACATAAAATTGTTGCCATTAATAAGTTTTCTCTGTGTGACAATATCCATATTATCTTTATGACATTAGCAATACTTGCACACATTCTCAAAGAATTTGGTGCTGTTCCAATTACACTGCATCCTCCCCTCCCAAAGTAACAGAGATGGTTAGATCTTAGGACAGAGGCAAAAGACTGCCGGTAGCTATGCCAAAGTACATCCACGAAAAGCAGACTAACTAAACAAGTCTGTGTACTAGCAACAAAGACTTTGCAGTATAAGCACCACAAATTTCAACACAAAACAAAATAAACAGTAGAAACATGAGAAGACAAGGCAACAAAATGGCTCCCCAAACTCCCAATTGCCCCAAACCCAATCCACAGGGCACTGAGGAGGAAATAACATAAGCCACATAGCCCAATTACTTGGAAGAATAATAGAGGAGTTTAGAAAACAGATCAAAGATGTTTTTTGCTGGGATTACAAAAGATATAACTAACCAGATAATGGAAGTAATCACCAAATCAATCAAGGAACTTTTAGAAGACAATAATAAAAAGCCAGCTGAGCTAAAAAATGATACAAAACATGAATGAAAGTTTAGTAAAGCATTAGAGTCCTTGAAAAGGTTTCAATTAGAAACCTAGGGGATTAAAAATTCTATTGAAAGTATGGGCAGCAGATATGAGCAACGTGTGTGGACAGAGTTAGAAGACAGGAAGGATTTCAAGGACCAACAGCTGAAAGACACCTTAAAAGCAACAAGAGAGATTTAGAAATGGATCCAACAGGTGCTAGACGATGCAAAGAAGACTAATCTAAGAGTAACTGGATTAAGTGAGAAATATAAAGATAGCACAGATGACCTAAAAACCCTGCTTATAGAAATAAGAGTAGAAAACTTCCCAAATTTAGGGAAAGAAGTAAACATACAGATATAGAATTCCATACACCCATGACCACAAAAGAACCTCTCTATGCCACATCATTGTAAAAATATCATCATTCCTGCACAGGGACAAAATCTTAAAAGCTGTCAGATAAAAGCAACAAATCACTTGTAAAAATAAACCCATTAAAATAACAGCAGAATTTTCAACACAAATCCTAAAGCCCAGAGGGCTTGGGGTGAAATATTTCAAGCCCTAAAATATAACAATTTCTAAACTGTCTTGATAGCTAAAAGTAAACAGACAGAGCTTCAGCATATTGGAAGGGATCGGAGATGGAGAAAGAGGGAAAAGAGAATAGAGGGGATGAACATCAGGTAAAAAGGAGGAAATTGGGAAGTGTGCACATACACCAAGTTCCTATGAAAAATGTGATCTTTATGTACTCTAAATACACACACAGTAAAACCTTGGTTTGTAAGTGTACTGTGTTCTGGAAATACGCTTGTTATCCAAATTACTTGTATATCAAAGAGAATTTCCCCATAAGAAATAATGGAAACACAGATGATTCATTCCACAACCCAAAAATATTCATATAAAATGATTACAATACTGTAATACACTACTTAATAGTAAAGAAAATGCAAAATATAAAGAAAAATTTTTAAAAAAACAAATAAACCTGTACTTACCTTTGAAAATATTCCTGGCTGGTATGAAGGAGACTAGAGAGGAGGGTTATTGGCTAGGATGACTTTCACATAC